TAATAACAAAACAAATTTTAACAAAGTACAAATTTTAACAAGCACAAAAATGAACTCAATTTTCGCATTTCTGTGTAAAAATAGTATTTTTCATTCAAAATACTTTTTATATTTATAATTAGGATATAACACAGTGAAGCTTCTGGGAGCTATCCCCCAAATTCAAAAGCACTTGAACATTATGTCTAGAAAAACAATCAGGTATGGAGTTGGTTTGATTTGATTTGATATGATATGATTTGATTTGTTGCAAGAGCATAGTGGAAGAACTTTCAAGTTCACCAGAAATATATAAACTCCATCAGAGCCAATAAATCCAGGGCTATACTTTTCTTTATGAAATAAAATTCTCCAAATAATGAAAGTTTGGTTAATTTAGTCTTTGCAGAATTGACCTGTTTCTGAACCTTGCTATTCTCCCAAGGTTAATATAAGGCAGAAAGAACAACTTTATACATCACATAACAACATTTATTTGATATTTTACTGTATGCTGAATATTGCATAAGCACTTCTCTCTCAGCGTTTCATGGGAGTCGTACAACAGTATGAGCTAGGCACTACCACCATTGTCGTTTTATAGAGAAGGATACTGAGGCTGTAAGTAGAGGAGCCAGAAGACTGAAGCTCACCGGCTCCAGACCTTATGCTGTTCATGCTGTGGGAATGCTACCACAGGAGCCAACATACTGGCTACACAGGCCTTTTGACATGACTTCAACTGCAATATTCCTGCTGGCTCGCTCGAAAGGACCTCAGTCAATGACAGTTTTGCATACAGTCATAATAATTGGTTGCCTCTGTTGTTTTCTTTCAGAGACACTGAGAAAGTTCTATTTTTCCCTAGAATACACCTCTGCTCCCTCCAGCACCCTTATTTCAATTATGTTAGTTTAAGTCAGTATTTCCTAACATATGCTCTGTGTAGAACCTAAACCCTGGAGAATATTCATAGTCATTATAAACAAAAAAAAAAAAAAAAGGAAAAGAAAAGAAAAAGTTCCTCATCTTGTAAATTTAGGAAACATTGGGTGAAAAAAAAAACCAACTGTTAATACAATAAGCATTCTGAACGTCTCCAATATATTAATACTAATGAATAACGTGACTCTTCAGAAGAAGGATATAACATACCATTTCCCAAATTCATTTGACCATAGATGGGACAGTTACAGGTCTGCAAGTTGGGAGCTGTCCCAGGAAGCCTAGCTCAAACTTCAAGTAGAGGCTGGAATTCATCTGTTGCTGTGTTTGCCAAGCCCTTTGCCTTGGTATATCACTGTTCCTGTTCAGAGGGGTTATTTTTCTAATTCCCTGAAAGGAAGTTTCTATTTGTCAAGCCCTGTGCCCTCAGGACTACATCAACTCACAGAGGGGCTCTCTTCTCTGTTTCTCACCCAGGGGCTGCATGGTCTAGGCCAGGGGTCCTCAGACTTTTTAAACAGGGGGCCAGTTCACTGTCCCTCAGACGGTTGGAGGGCCGTTGGAGAGTGCGGCGCACATTCCACACATGCGCACTGTGGGCCGGGGACGAGTCAGCTGCTAAGCAGGACAGGCAGCGGCGGCAAAAACACCTGGAGGCTGGATAAATGTCCTAGGCGGCCGCATGTGGCCCTTGGGAGGTAGTTTGAGGATGCCTGGTCTAGGTAGTGCCCCACAACCTTCTCCCTTTCCTTTAACTTCCTCTGACACCTCCTGCTTGTACCGAGGGAGGGAGAGCTATAAGTTTATGTTTCTTTCTGTCTGCCCTCACTTAGGATTACCATCCAGTAAGTAACCCCTCCCAAAGCCTCAAGTTATCTTTTTCCAACTTCCCACTGTCGACATATTTCCATTCCTCATTGTACTAACCACATTCTGCAAAAAATTGTTTGGATTGAACCACTTCATATAGGTAAACAGATTTTTACTTTTATATGATCATGGAATATTGATATTCCTCTAACTCATGCTCAGTGGACACATTATGTGAATAATGACTTATGCTAAGGAATGAAGCCAGGAAAGCAGTAGGGAAGAGAAAAGCTTTCCTAGGAATCTGGGATGACTCATAGCTCATCTTTCCTTTCTCACTCAGGGAAAATAAATCCAATTCCACGAATCCCAACTCTATGCAGGCAATGTGGCCAGGAAATGGAGATATTTGGGGTGGAGGTACAGGGAAGTTTCTCAGTATGCCTGAAATCCTACCACTGTTGGCAGCTGCCTACCCTGTCTTATAGTCCATCATATATTAAGAAATGGTTTTAGCTGGGTGTTGCTCACAATCCTAGTGATTCAAGAGGCTGAGGTGGAAGGATCACTTGAGCCCAGGAGTTCGAGACCATACTAGGCAACATAGTGAGACATTTTCTCTAAAAAAAAAAATGTGTGTTTTTTTTTTAAATTAGCCAGACATGGTGGCACACAACTCTAGTCCCAGCTACTCAGGAGGCTGAGATGGGAGGAACATTTGAGCCCAAGAGTGAGAGGCTGCAGTGAGCTATGATTGCACCACTGTACTCTAGCCTGATCAAAAAAATGAGACCCCCCCATCTCAAAATAAATAAATAAATAATAAAAACAGTTTTAAAAAATGTTGGGAAAAAGTAGGGGAAAAATCAGTTATCCAGAAGCATACCCACAAAAAGAATTTATTTGCACTGTACTTGGAGACAGTTTGATATCATTATTGGATGTTTTCTATGTAGTTACCAGGCTAAGAACTAACCCAATTTTACTTCTTCCTATAGCTACCAGTTCCACTCAGTTCATATTGACCTCAAGTTCTTCCTAGAAATACTTATTATATTTTTAATTCTTTTCCACCTAACCAAATACTGGGACAACTCTCCAAAACCCAGAAACTTAGTCCTTAAGCTGCCATTCCCTAGAAAGAAGATGTATTTCCTCACTGTCTATCTTTAAGTGGGTAATGGAACTCTCACCAGTTCAGCTGAATTTTCTGTATTGCTTTCTCAGAATTACTTGGCAATTCTAGGAGTTGCAACTGTATTACATTAATTCATAGCACAAGGTAATTTAAATTCTCCCCAAGTCGTAGTCATTAAAATTTTTCATTTAAATATCACCACAGTGACTTTTATGCAAACAAATCCCCAGGAGCCAATAAATGATTTAGAATTAGATTTCCTTTTCTTCGCTATGGCGAGTAGCAACTTGGGAAAGAATTGTACTTCATTTTCTCTAGAATATAAATTTTCCAGACTGCAAAACCTGAAGTTCAAGAAGGAAATGTTAGGAATAATTTCAAGGCAATGCATATAGACACCTAAATGAGTGTTTGGCCCTCAATAAAAACAAGTGAAAGAGCAATCTTACAAAGTACTGTCTTTTCTTAAATAACTGCCTTTTCTTTTTTCCAGCTGGGTGGGGACAAAAATGAAAAAGAAAACAAATAGGAGGAAAAATGACTCTTTTCAAGCTGATCATATAGTTTGGTCACTGAAAACCATAAATGTGAGCCTTATATATAGATAGATATAAATATCTATATATATCTATATCTATATATATCTATATCTATATCTATCTATAAATATCTATATATATATAGATATAAATCTAGAGATTTATATCTTACTTTCCTACTGATTGTAGGAAAGATCCAAAATACATCTAAGCTGGTAATTTTAAAAAAATAGCTCTGGTTAAGAGATTAAAAGGCTTTTTGCTACTTTGAACCTGAATTGGCCTACGCCAACTGACTCTACTGGAACTCTAGTGACCTTTCGGGGGAGAGATTTTTCAGATTTTCTGGCTCTGCAATTTAAGTAATTCAATGGCGGCTCTTAACCTCTGTCAATTTCAGTGTAACTTAACCTCTTTCCATCTCAATTTGCTTGTCTTTAAAATGTGGATAATGATAGCACTCACTACATCAAGCTGCTATTGGAATTACATAAGGTAATGTATGACAGTGCTCAAATGCTTAACACACAACCACTCAATAAATGTTAGTAACTGTCTTCTCTGATACTAGTTATAATTTAGCAGGCCCTAGTACTGCAATTTGAATTAGAATAATAACTCAGATGATTACATCTCACAAAAGCAAAGAGCATTAAATATTTAAAGAGAAACCTATAGGTTTACACTCAGGCAAAAGCAAACAACCACCCTGCTTGTTGGAGATGCAGAGAGCTTCCAGGCAACCAGAACCTGATGTCTTCGCCTGGGGAGAAAACAGGCTACACTCCAGAGGCCTGAGAGCCAACTCTGCCCTAGGCATTAGTAACAGGGCTTGAGTACAGTCAACATCTCATCGGGAGACTGTATGTGCCTGAGAAACACCACTCGCTGGGTGGTAAAATTGCGGCTCTGTGAATAAGAGCTTCGTGATAACTAAAGAGGTACAAGATTCTTTGTGCGAGATACCTATTATCAGATGATAACACCTTTTAAAAATGAAAGGGGAAAACCAGTACAATAGTACAAAGCATAAAACTTTACAAAGAAGTTTGCCTCGTCACCCAGCAAAATGTGAAGATATCCTTTTAACAGAAATTTTGAGGATTTTTGAGGACAAACTTTACTAATCACCATAGCACACATGTCTGAAGCTACCAGCATTATTCTATTCTCATGTGATCATGGATATTCCAAGAGTCAAGAGACATCAAAGTTTTGATGACTTCACAAAATAACTGTTTAGTTAAAAAAAAAAAAAAAAATCCATGACTTGCTGAAGCTTTGGCACACAGAACAACCAACAATCAGAAATTTGTATTTCTGTGAAATCATTAGCAATGTAAATAGGCATTCGATCCTTCTTAAAGAAAACGATGTCTAATTGATAATAGTGAATTTTAAAAGCCCACAGGAGACTTTTAAGGGATATAACAACCATTTTTGTGAAAGATTTTTGGATTTATATGACAAAATTATGACTCTGCAAGCTCAAAACTCATTTTTTTAGTTATTTAAAAATTACTTTAAAAGCATGTATGACCACACCTATACAAATAGATACACAGACATGAATCAGAAAGAACACTTACTGTCATTTCATTCATGCTCAGTAGCGTAGGGCTAGGTGGCAAGGTGCCCAAGCGAAATTTGAAACCATCTTCTAAAGTCATTCCCCAGAATTGGCTGTAGTTCTGTGCTGTCCATCTGCCTTACAAATGAAAGAGAACAATGTGCATAATGTGTCTAGGTTATATGATATCACTTTTATAAATACATTATCATTTATATTTCTGAAATTATTCAGCAGCAAATCTCACAAAATGGGAACTATTACTGTAGGCTTGCTATCTTTTATATATGACTACTTTAATAATCAAGGCTATGAAATACTCTTCCTAAACTAGGTCCATTTCAATTATTTCAATGACTCATATGAGGATCATAAGGCTATATCAATATAGACTGAAACAAATGAAATCTTTACATATTCTAAAAGGATTAAGTGGCAATAAGGCCAATATAAGCAGTTTCCTTTAAATGCCATTAAGTGCAGTTTAGAAAGATGCTTGACTATACAGAAATGTACTTATAAATTAAATGTGCTTATAAATTAAATAGAGTCAAATTTATATTTGAAAAGAAGTTTATCAGGTAAAAAGAAGCATACATGACAAATTGAGAACAGAATAGTTATACTTTAAGAAAATTATAATGGTGCTAATTAATTGGATATTAAAAAAGTCTATCTTATATAAAATGATTTAATTTGTGTTAAATGCTCGATAATCAATAATAATATAAAGTCAACTGATGTGAAATTAGGTAATAAAAAGTGCATATTTTTCTAGAGATATATTTTTTGTTCTTACATAAGAAAAGAAACTTTGTTTTCAAAATTTAATATTGAAATTTGAAGACAAGAAAAATGCCTTAAGTGATGATAGTAAATGAAAAATGAGAAAGGAAAGTAATTTAATTGTTGCTTTTTTGAATTATCTACAACTTGAGGGCAATGTATCTTCAGTACTTAAGTCAAACCTAAACTTTATCCTGTGTTGTGTTTATCACCAAAATTGTTTATAATATGATAGGCTCTGAGGCATGATTGAAAGTACAATTCAATTTTCAATAATTTACCTGGCAAGTTAACACTTTTCTTTAATATGATTGTTTTGTAAAATATTTAGCAACTTTCAGCTACAATTTAAAGTGTAATCTCTATTACCCAAGGAATTTCAATAAGGAAACCTCTGACTATATTAGATCTTGTAGCATAATTCAAGAGACTAGCAGGACTTGTCTTGGTCAAAATTGTGATATCAGTAAAGTACGTTTTTGGTGGCCTATACTAGTAGTTTTCAAATACAGGTCAAAGGCATAGGTCATTTAATTAAGCATTCAATTTAGTAAGCAGGGATGAGCATTTAAAAAAAAATAAAAGAGAAGATAGGTTAGAAAATAGCAGAGTTTATTGCAATAGTGAAGTAAGTACTATTTCTCTTTCTCACTCCCAACCCCTTACATGTGTGTGTATGTGCATGTACTGGATAACAAAGTAAAATGTATGTTTTACTGTGAGTTATGCTCAAAAAAGTGTGAAAAGCACTACTACCCTATACAGTGCTCTTTGACCTAGACTTTGAACTTTCCTTTTAATACAATTTATCATTTATTGAACTTCCTCAATATATTCTATTTTCTGATAAACACTGGAAATATAATATGAATACATTTCTCTACACTCAAGAAGCTCATACCCTAACAAAGACTAAAAAGATAGAAAGGACTTCATTGCATGTCATTTGTTAGCAGTAGGTCAAAATATAATCAGAGTAGAAGATTCACACATAGCTCTGCCTGGAGGAGTTGGCACATTTTTTACAGAAAGTGAATTTAGTGTTCAGTCTGGAAAGACGAGAATGAATTTGGCAGCCAGAGGTGAAAAGAAGACAGCATTTATTCGAAACAAAGGCACCTAGAGCAAAGCATACGTGTTTGAAATTGGGTGGCAACTTTAGGGAATGGCAGGTAAGTTAAATGCTTAAACTATGAGAGGGGACAGGGACACAGGGGCTGAAAAAAGGTGTAAAACAAGAGTTAGTAAAGAAGCATTTGGGCCAGGGAGTTATTTATGCTAAGGAGGATAGTTCCATAAACGATGGAGTACCATTGAGGATCTCTGGAAACAGAGACACGAGGAAGGTCATTTCAAACTAGGATAGATAGAAAAATATTCTAGAATATAGCCTAGTAATGGAGGAAATAAATATCTGAGAGAAAACTTTGAGTGTGAGTCTTAGCAAGACCTGATGACTGAGAGTGCAAAGGAAGGGAAAAAGTCTAACTAATTTCAAATTTTCTGGCTTGGTTGGCCAAGTGGAGGGAGATGCCTGTAACCAAGGATTGGTAGAAATTCATCCCTTCAGTTTAGGGGTTGCTGATTTCCAGAAACCAGTGAGGAATCAAGGCAAACTTATCCAACAAACTAGATTTTGAGTTAATAAGATAACTCAAGTGGAGATGTGTTAGGTTAAAAATGGCCACAAATTATTTCCAGCACTTTCCATCAAGAAGTCTATTTCTCTATCCTTTGAATGTGCACTGACCCAGCAACTTGCTTTGCACAATAGAAAGCAGCAGAATTGGTACCAGGCATCTATCAAGTGTAAGTCTCAAAGAGGACTTGTGCAGCTTCCACTAATGCCCTATTAGAACTATTATGATGAGAAGCAGCCAAGGCTAGCCTACTGGAGATGCACCAGCACCAATCACCAGCATGGGCATAAGGCTAGCCCAGACAATTCAGCCCCAGTTAAGGCTCTAGATCAGGAGTCCTCAAACTTTTTAAACAGGACGCCAGTTCACTGTCCCTCAGACTGTTGGAGAGTGCGCACTGTGGGCCCGGGACGAGTCGGCTGCTAAGCAGGACAGGCAGCGGTGGCAAAAACACCCAGAGGGCCGGATAAATGTGCTAGGCAGCCCACATGTGGCCCGCGGGCCATAGTTTGAGGATGCCTGCCTAGATGTCTAGAAACACACCCATAACACCAGAAGAGACCAGCAAAAAAGCCTCAGCTGAGTCCATTCCACATTGCTGATGTGAACAAATGAGAAGCTTGTGGTTTTGAACTGCTAAATTCTGGAATGGCTTTGTTACACAACAGCAGATAACTGAAACAGTTAAGTATCTTCCTTTATTCCACTAAATTGTTTATCATTACTTGTGTCACTAATTTGGCGCTTATATTCTGCCCTATCATTGGAAATCCTTTTTTAAAGGTATGACATATTGGCTCCTCAGAAAGATGGTAACTTCCTGTAAGACACAAATTATTTATTTGTAACCTCAGCAACACCACAAGCGGAACACATGTTTTATTAATATCAATTGGTTGCACTGAAAAATTATACAGAGAATAAAAAAGCACTGAAGTACATGATGTAGAATGAATAAAGACTTGGATCTAAGATACTGCCAAGATGCAGGAAGGAAATATTTTAAAGTAAAGTTTATATATTTGTATGTAGGCTATTTCTAAAAGCACTTAATAAATATTGAATGATATATTATACTATGAAAGCGATTTGGGCACCAGGAAGAAAGAATAGCTCCAAATCAGAACTTTCTTTTAAATTCAAGGATTTTCTCCTTTTTTTCCCCTGGCAAATAGCTTTAGTTTTATTTCTTTTCTTCATAGTTTGTTCCTTTTATTTAACTTTATTTTTTCGTCTGTGTATGTCTCCTTGTGCTACAATTATACTTCACTATCTACTCTTTTAAAGTCCAGTCATGTTTTAGTGTTTGCTACTAAAATGCAAAGCCCATGCCTCTAACTAGTCCTAGGATATGCTCGAAATACACAAGTGATGGAAAGAAAGTTCTTCTTGCTAAGGAAGGCAGCCTTCCCAACAACTTCTGCACTAAAGTGTACCATATTGTTTTAGACTGTGGTCTCTTGTGTATTCTGTAACAGTGCTTACGGTTTCTTGGAAATGTGTGTTAATTAGGTGCAGCAGTTGAATCCTTTTAGGAACCTGATTCAGATAATTTCTCAAGATGACACATACTCTCATGTTCTTTGAGTGATTTAAATATAATTTAGCCAAGAAAAATTATAATTGGTTTTCCTAGAAATACTTAAAATGTCCTCAATTATCACCTAAAATATTGGTTACACACACATACACACAGAGGAATTGAGAATGGTTTAAGACTATTAATGTCAATAAATGTGACTTTCTGTATTTTGTGACTTCCAAGAAAATATTTTGGATACATTGAAATTCAGTGTCTCCACTGTGGTGGGAAACATAACATCTGTTTGTGGAAGGAAATGGTATTGCTATTTTTAAAAATTACATCTCAAGATTATTTCATTTTTCTAGTTGCTTGATAATAGATCTTCTCATGTGAAGTCTTTTGCAGAATATGGAAGATGTTATCATGGGTATACAGACATTTGATCAACGGCAGTGAAGAAATCCAGAGGCAGATACCAGCCAGTCTATTTATCTTTTTTTCAGTTCTACAAAGAAAGCTGGTGTTGGGTGTCTACATCCTAATTCCTTTATGTAAGCAGAGATGCCAGCTAATTTATTAATCCCTAGACAAGCACAGGTATTTCCAATGTGTAAGTATCAATCATCCCCAGTTTTAGTTTGCTAGCAAAGCAAAGTGGCTCCACCTGTCTTTTGACTTGACCGTGAATAAAATTGGCTAGCTATCAGTCATTTCAGTGAGGTTTTCTAGATTGACTTGTTATTTAGGGGATCATTAAGACACTCTCCTTTTAATGTCAGATTCTACCCAGGGTGGCATGGTTGGGACAGCAGCAGAGGGAAAGATGGTTAAGCATGAATTAATCAATTTTGCTGACTTCCTGATTTTGCCTAAATACTTATCCAAAATACAGCTGCCTCCACTCTGTTTACCTACACCATGACATTGCTCTTTCCTAGATGATTTATGACTATGTTCTACATTTCTTTTTTATTTGTGCATTTTAATTTTCAACTACTTAATGTTTACCTTTGCATTCTAATTTTACTTGTCTTCTATCTCCTTTCCCATATCTCTCCCACTGTTGCTTTTTAAATAATGACCATTTTTAGACAGTCAATACATTGAAACCTAGGAAAAATGAGTGTGCCAAGAAGCATACAGAGCAAGATTTCTCTCACCCATAGTCTCCTTTATTGATGTTTTCAATTAATTCTGGATGAACAAGGCATACATGCTGGGAACATTTCCACTGCTGTCCTGAGCATGTGCTGCAAAGATACAACAATTACAAAAGTGGTATGGCCTTTATGGACTATATTTCAAAATTAGTAATAAGAGTTGCACATTGTGAAGGCATAAAACATAATTTTTAAAATTAATGATAGCCATATGCCTATTTGATTCTCAGCAAAAATACATCATAAAACATACCCCTCAATATGCTCTTATTAGCCACCCCCTTAATATGCTCTTATCCTCTGTTGCAGGCAATTAATAAATGATATGATCACATATTCATTGAAGTTTGAAAACACAAGACAATTTGGACAGTAGATTAATATACTTATATTTGGAAACTTTCTGCAGATTAATCCTTTTAAAGTAGCATGTTTTTATATACCAGTTATTGTGCTCAAAAAAATATATAATTTGCCTGTAGTACATCAGACTGTTTGTAATTAAGAGGTATATTTAATGCAGGCCTGCTGTGTGATAAAGTTTCATTATCAAGAACATTAAACTCAAGCATTAAAGACATATTCATAATTAAATTTTTCACATTCATTAAAATTAAATATACTTATAAATACTTACAAATATGTGTTGTTTTATGACATATGATTCTGCCTATATGTATTTAAATGTATGTTTTGTTTCACAAATATTGTTTTTATTTGAAGAAAACATATACAGACAGTAGAATTCAGGTAAAGTGCTACTTAAACTCATTACCAGGAGTTGCAGTTTTCTTTAATTACTGATCCTTCATCATAATGATGACCATCTCTGAAGCAACCTGTTGACATAACATATAAACAAAGGAATATTCTAAATTGAGTGATAAAATCCATTAATATAACAAGTAATCTAAAATTGTGGTTAATTTTTCAAATATACAAAAATATTTGGTGCCAATCTGATAGAAATGCACATCTGGTATATGTCAAGGTTCATACATTGAATTCTGGGTTTGTTCCATGAGCTTTTATCTTTAAACTGCATGTTATGTTCCAATAGAGAGGATTTGTAAAGCACTAAAACCAGATTGCCAGGAAATTAATCATTCAAAAAATAATTAATGTTTCTAAATAGATAAGCAATATAATAGTATTTGAATCAATTTATGGCATTTCACATTAAAAAACTAATCAAGTCTCATAAGTGATTATAATTAATTAGATACGACTAGAACAAATAGCTCATAGCTTTGGACCAAATACAAAGTCAAGTCATTGAATTTACTTTACAGAGATAAATTCTATTCTTTTTCTTCAGGATTTGGATCAGGAGAAAAATTCATGAAATAAATAAGATTGTAGCCATTTATCCTCCAAATCCAAATGTTTCTCAACTACTAACTGAAACTAGTTGTTAACTAGTTTACCAGGTTATATAAACTACTCAAAGGAGATGAATGGTGAATTTGCATATGAAAGACATCAATAAGATATGGTGAAAATAGTAGCCTAGTTATGAATTAAATCCTTTTGAAAATATAACCTGTCAAATTTAAAATTAACATTAAATTAGCAAAAGGGACTTTACTTTGTCTCATGAAATTTTTTTGACAGAACATATAATTGACATATCACATCAATGACCTTGAATTAAATAAGATGAATTCTAATTTTTTATTCAGAAAATCATAGGGGAAAATACACTGTTAAAAAATATTCCAAGGGAACTGGTTTAACTTCCAGCCACAATGTCACAAAAGCCAGTTATGAAATTAGCTATCCTTAGATTTTCCAAAAAATTGTTTCATAGGAAACATTTTACAACTGCTCCTCCCCTACATGTGCTATGTTTCATATTTTAACAGTCTGTTTAATGAATTTAGTTTTTGCGTGTTTACGTCTATTCATTGTTTCCCCATGGATTTTGGACAGTTCATAGTCATGTGATGAGAGAAGGAAATCACCTGTCTCCTGACCTCAGGCTTCTTAATGCAGCAAACCCAGGAGGGGGGGAGATTTAACTTTAAATCAAATTTAGGGTTATAACAGCTACCTAAAACTAGGCACTTTTAATAACTGAACTGACAATCTGTTTGTAACTTAAAGAAACCCTAGAAGTTTTTGCTACCTAGGAGTAACAGAAAATTCATGCAATGATCCAAGTTTTCCTTCAAAGGCAAGGGAAGTATTTCCCTGATCCTTCTTAAAAGGAGAGTGAAGAATAAAAACAAAGCTGATTTTTTAATCATATCTCATGAATCGTGAATATTCAACATACGAGTTACATGGATAAAGGGAGCAGAAACCACAAAGGTCCTAAAGGAAAAAAACTATCCCTTCTTTAACTCCAGCCAATATTTTTTTTTAATTATTTTTTTTATTTTGGTATATTATGGGGGTACAGATTTTAAAGTTTCAATAAATGCCCATTTCCCCCCCTCCCCCCAAAAGTCTGAGTCTCCATCATGACCATCCCCCAGATGGTGCACATCTCACTCACTATGTATGTATATACCCGCCCCCCTCCCCCCTCCCACCTGCCCAATACCCTATTACTGTAGCACCTATGTGTCCACTTAGGTGCTACTCAGTTAATACCAGTTTGCTGGAGAATATATCTGGTGCTTGTTTTTCCATTCTTGGGATACTTCACTTAGTAGTATGGGTTCCAGCTCTAACCAGGAAAATATAAGGTGTGCTATATCACCATTGTTTCTTAGAGCTGAATAGTACTCCATGGTGTACATATACCACATTTTATTAATCCATTCTTTGATTGATGGGCACTTGGGCTGTTTCCACAGCCTTGCAATTATGAATTGTGCTGCTATAAACATTTGAGTGCAGGTGTCTTTTTTGTAGAGTGTCACTGGATCATTTGGGTAGATGCCCAGCAATGGGATTGCTGGATCAAATGGTAGATTCACTTGTATCGCTTTAAGGTATCTCCATATTGCTTTCCACAGAGTCCAGCCAATATTTTTTAAGTCAAGAGAATATTATTACTAGACCCACCCCAAATGATTAGCACTAAATCTCATGTTAACAAAAACTTCATTTCTCGGCCATTCTTTCCTAATATCAAGTCTGAAAGCATTCCAAGGTACATGGTTTAACTTCTAGTATCAAGTCAGAGTGAACTATGAGACTCTATGTTCACTTTAACCACACTTGAGAATTGGTCTCTTGAGCAAAAGCCATCAGTTACATCTGCCCCTGGTCAAAGTGCTAACACAGCAAAGCATCAGCTTCTGTAAATACCGAGACACATTCGCTCTCTCCTTTGCTGAACTCCTTTCCAACTTCAATGTGTCCCTCATTCTCTGCATGGCATTTAGAAGAGATCTTTTAAAATATACATTGTGCCACTTTCTACTTAAAAATATTCAAGTTGTTTCCTATCAAATTTAGAATAAAATCAAACTTGTTACCTGACCTGTAAGGCCTTACCCCAAATGTGTCTGTGCTAATCTCTGCCCTTGTCACTCCTGTTGAGCTGGCTGGGATGGAGGTTTCCAGAAAAATAAAGGATTAGCATAATAGTAGTCAGGGGGGAGAGAGAGAAGTGGATGGATATAATTTGGGGGTAAAACAAATGAGATTCACTTATGGATTGATTTTGGGAAATGAGGAAACAAAGGAATCAAGGATGTGTCATTAAGACTTTGGCTTGAGCAATAGAGGGGCAATAAAGCTATTCACTGAAATAAGAAATAGGCTGTGTCAAGAAATCAAGAGTTCTGCCTTACATATCATAGATTTAGAGTAAATCTAGGCTAGATATCCTAATGCAGATGTCAAGTAGACAGTAGCTTATGGAAGACCAGAGTTAGGTCAAGGGCTGGGCATGAATTTGGGGAATACCAGCATACATATATACTTTTTTAAAACCAGAGACTAAATAAAAGTCTTGTGGAAACAGTGTACATAGGTAAGAGAAAGTGATCCGGGACTGAGCTCAAAATACTCCAGCTGACAACTTTCAGAAGAGGAAACTCAGAAGGAGTGTCCTGTGAGGAAGCAGGGAATCCAGGAGGCGGTGGTGTCATGGAAAGCTAGGCAGGAAGGTATTTCATGCATGCGAGGTGTTCAGCTGGGGGCAGTACTGCCGGGAGACCAAGAATGAAAAAGCAGACATCTGAATACTACATTTGGGAATGTGGGAGTCACCGGTACCCCTGCCAAGAGAGATTTCACTGAAGTAGCAAAGGGTGACACCCTGTAGGAATGGGTTGATGAGAAAGAGTTCCTTCCTTGGAAGGAAGGAAGCCAAATTTTTCTTTCAGATATTGTGCCATTAAAGGGAAGAAGGAAATGGGATGGTATAGCTAATTAGGGCATGAAATCAAAGAAGGCCTCTTTTTAAAGTTGGGGGAGACAAAAACACATTCTGTGAATTGATGGTTAATCAGAAGAGAAGGGAAAAAGTGATGCTAAGAGAAAGAAACAAAGAGAGTGAGAGAACTATAAGGGTGAAGATCTTGAGAAGACAAGAGAAGATGGGATCCAGAGCTCAAGAAGGGGAATAGATTCAATGTTAGCTGCAACCCAGATGGAGGTAGGCTGAAAACTGTGATGGTGGAGAGATGAGATGATTCCTGTCTGGTAGCTTATTTTCTCAGTTACGTATGTCTGAAGAACCTCAGAGTAAGTGAGTAAATTGGCTATATACATAGCATCTTAACCAAAAATAAATAAATAAAACAAAAATTAATGACTGTTGAAATTAAGGGAGTTTTGCAACTTTAACAGTCTTTAATGCAAAATTAAGGAAATCATATACTTAGAGAATGAAATTGTTGGTCTTAGTTATTGAGAAAAGATGATAATATATCTGTAACTTATTGTAAAATACTTCATCGCAGTGTGTTATAAAAGTCTGTGCTGGTCTGAACTTCTCTGCAGGAAAGGCAGCTGCTTGCTCTAATCAGGAATCCACACCCCAGGGGTGGTCAGTAGCATTCATTCTGAAAGGCCAGACCTCAGGGCACCTGCTACAAGTACTTCCATTATCCGTATTTGGACCAACACGAGAGGATTAGTATAATAAATGTCAGTATTGGGCTTTCATTGGTAAAACCAGTGGCTCGTTAATCAGCATACTGGAGCTAGGTAATCAGCTGTCATTGATTAAATTAATAGTGCTCAATTTATGTTTAGCTAAAATATTTCAAAATCACATCTCACTCTTTCACAGTTTATATGTATCTCCTAAGGTTATAAACCTGTACTCTTAGACCTGGTACCCCAGGATTGATCTTTGTCCTTTGTCCAGCCATCTGGGTAGGAAGATTTGTCATTCCCTGATACCCACTGTAAGGGGAACAGAGTTCTACCTCTGTAAATATTACCATATGTGCCTCCAATAAATTTTCCATGCAATGTAGATGTGGGAACACCTAAAAGGCCAGGAAGTTGAGACTTCATAAAGCCTACAAAAGGTGTATGAATTAGTTTGTGTCATATTTTTGTAACTGTCAATATGTGTGGCAGAGTTTGGACTCTGATTTATCTTCATTATAATATGGTAAAGGAGGTTGTGGAGGAGTAAATAACCCTCATCCAATTCAGACATGTCAGTGGCTTACATACATTTTTTTTTACCAATGCAAACATATTGTGCATAATCAAATTAACTTAAGTCTGTTCACAACAGATGGTGTACTAGACTCTTTCCTTAATATCTGCTACACCAAAAGATTATGTCTAGAAATTCCACCCTGGCTCTGTTTCAAACACCATCAGGGATTTTCCATATCTGACATTTGAAGTCCTCCAATTACTGCATGTTACTTTCAGATATGGGTAAAAGAAAATCAGAGAAGGAAGATATTTACCA